TATTATTTTTATCTTTTGCCAATCAAAATATAATTTTCAAATATACTGTCTTTTAATTTAACATCAAACCATGTGTAGCCTTGTAATTAAAAACATTTGTATGCGAATTGAACTGAAAAAAATTCAAATGTTAGTTATTTTTCGCGAAAACATTATTAAGAAATAACATTTCAACGCACAACTAACTATTCAATAAATCATACAAATCTGAGATATCAGTACTAAATATGAGGGGCTAAGTTAAACCCAATGCTTAAATGAACTTTTAATACACCGCTTTAGCAGTAACTACAATGAATCGTGGATTTTATAAAAAACAAATTGGTGTGATAAAGAAATACTACTATTTGGGTGTAGAAACCTATATTATTAAAATTTTTTTATTGCTTATTTTCTTAGACAAAGAAAATTAACCATCTGGTAGGAATTTATTTTTTGAAACTCATCATCATATTCTTTTCTCAACGAAAAACAATTTTACAACTTGTTATTTATCATACGTGTTGAAATAAAAGTAATTTTTTCCTATGATGTCGGTTTAGTCCTGCATTAAAATTACAAAAACAATGTGTATTAAATTTTAGAAAACAATTAAATATTTTAGTATATAATGAATGATAAATAACCATAAGATAACTGGAACACACAAGTAACCTACCTTAATCTAACCTACAATATTTTTCGTAAGCAAATCAACCATGCAAGTACAGTAACACAATTTACCAACCAATTTTGTAAAAATTGAAATGTACAGTATTGTGCAGATATATCCGCGTTCCCAATTTACATTTTAGCTTGTATAAGCTATTCATGAAACGGTAAAACATTTCTATACAACCTATAATTTGGAGGGATTACTAAACGGGCTATCATCACAGAAGTGAGACAAGCAATTACATGTAATGACAGGAGAAACAGTTTAGGGTAGAACATGGTGCTACTCAGCACTAAGCTCTGTGACTATGACATATTCTTGTCATTCCTGTACTCAGATGCATACGTCGCGTCGTTTGTATAATATTCGTAGTCAGTATTAAATTATATTTAACAAGACAATATTTTTTGTACATCTCAGATCTAAAAAGTTAAAGATACAGTTTTGCAGTAGGCTTATAAGGTGCAGTATACACAGTAGGCTACAATACGAAAGCGCTGGGTCGCCGGAAGGGTGGCGACGCTTGGCCTTAACGTGCACTCCGCTGATTGTATTTGAGGTGGCGCCTTCAGCTCTGTTAGTAAATTTGGGTTTCATTTTTCAAGGCTTCAACAAATGTTTAAAAATTAATATCTTTGCAAAAAAACTATGTTCAGGATTATTATATTTTTATTGTAAATACTTTATAATATTTTCATACTTGAAATGATGACTTCATAAGAAAATCACCTCCGTAATAAGTGTATAAATAACTTCAGTATTGAGCTTGGTGTCACAAAATGTAAAAACATTACCATTTATCATGAAGTGTAATTGATTAGACGAACACAATGCCTACACAAATTATTTTCCACTCTTTGGAAACCCTCCAGGGAATACTCATCGCACCTCATCAAATTTAGGCAGAGCTTGTCTACGTCCAAAGAGTTCACTGCATTTCTAGGTGTTAATTTCGTACTTTACCTAGACTTTAATCAGATTTAGGTTGGTTTATTTTTATTTTTTACTTGAATGATGGTCCAAATGAAGTCCGATCAGTGATATCAGTTTTTCTCGCACTTGACCATGATCTCACAAACCGATTCACCAAACAACACCACAAGATGTTGAGTGGCCTCCCGGTATTCCAACGTGGACAACAAAAGAATGTGTGTTTTGCGTCGACAGGAACGCCCGACCAGTAAATACAATTGGGTGAATTCGATTTACCCGTCAAATGCAGATAGGACTGAAACTAGCCGTGACCTGACAAAAAATGAGTAAGTTAAACCCATCTATGCCACAGTTCCATCCAAGGTTGGACCTTCCTGATGAGTAAGCCAATCAATTGTCTTTGAGTCGTATGTTCCCAGCACTCTATCCATATGCAACAAAATCAGTAGCAATGTTTCGTCTTTGCAGCTTCCTTACTAAATGCCCTTATTATTGGTAGATTGCCTTCCTTCTGAAGATTGACAGGCATACCATCAGTAATCCACCAGAACGGCCGGCTCGGACAACTTGAAGTACGTTGGTGTGAACCTTATCGTGCAAACTTAAACTTATACGCTTCTTTATTGAGTACGCCTTCTCACACCTCATAGCAGTAAAGAAGCGTGGACTATATTGCAGGCATCAAGAGTCTTTTCCGGCTTGACCGAGGACTCCCGACATTGGCCTTAAACTTACTAAAAGAAGCGACACTCCTAGCAGCCTTGTCCGTCAGCAGAAATTCTGCTGTCTTGATATCAAATTGTTTTTCACTATGACCCCGACGTACTTGGTGGTTTAAGTGGTTGGAAAAACTACTGTCCCGACTCGTAGTGGAACCATGGTATGGATCCGTTTCTTTGCAAAGATGATTATCTCCGTGTTACTCAAAGCGAGTTACAGATACTGATCAGATCAGACATCCAGGCGTTTATAACGACTTGATTCAGTTTTAGTTGGACCAGGTCAACGTTGCAGCAAACGATTAAACTTCAAGTTAATCACTATGTTACTAATAATAAATACAACTCCGCAGCAGTGCACTTTTGTTAAGTAAACACTATTGGGGTTTGTTTTTCAACCGCAATGAATGATATGATTTTTAACTAGTTTAATCAATTGTTTTCAAAATTACGTCCAAGCAGAAATTCTGAGATAAAAAAGATTTCTACCAAAAATTACATTAACAAATGAAATTTATAAATAACTAAGTTGCGTCTAAACTATAAAAAAAATGGTAGTTGTCTGATCATGGGAAGACAATTATATACTTAAAGTTTTGGAAATCTAAATTACCAATCAAGCTTAAGCAGATAACCATGACACAATGCAATCTAGGGCAGCTATTGTGTTAAACTGACGGTAACATGTTAAGGTGTGGGTAGTGTTGTAGTGTTAGTGTTAGTGTTATCCCAGTATTGATTCCTGGGACAAGCAGGTAAAGGCGCTGGCGTCACTGTAGCTCCTCCCTGTACAACCCTACCTTTACAGCAAGTATGGTAATTTATTCCATTTGTAACGTAACATGTGTATATGCTGCTATTATTTCGTGCTGATCCTCGTATTACAAGCAATTATTTATACGGGCTTCATTCATTGATTGTAATGTATTACGAGTGGTATACGGTTATTCTTTATGTATTCTCCACAGCGTTTTATCATAGAATACGAATAGTTTTACAAACAATTTTAGCCTATAAAATTGATATTTATTAATTAGCTTCGTTGAATTTGCGTTTTAAGCGAAAATATTGAGAGTATGACTTAACTCGATGGACATATTTACCATGCAACCCTAAAGCGATGTTGGGTTTTGGCTCACTATAGCCATTTTTGGCTAGGCATCAGGCGTCAAGTGTTATTAATTTTATCATCAGAAAAACTAGATCATCAGTCTATTACATCAGGTTGAATTTAGAAATTTTATTTTGAACAGATATGAGAGCTATTTCATTTGGTAAACTAAGTGTATTTACATTATTTACCACCATGCCCCATTATAAAACCTAGATAATGAATCGATTGTCAGCTTAGAAATAAGGAGAAAAATTGATTATTTATATTTTTTTACTAGGTTAATAATAAATTTCTCTTATCACAATGTACTTTCCATAGAGAAAATGAGAAAATTATCCATGAAGAAATTATAAGAGGCAAATAAAATTTAACTGTTGAATAGTTTTCATATTGTAAAATCTTGTTCCATTTTCAGTTAGGAGCGCCAGACTTTATGCCAATACGTCACATATTTCTAAATTCTGCATAAACAAAACATTTGCATGCCTCCCATAAACAACAAAACTTGGGTTCTGTCTGCGGAAAGCAATATGCCTGGTATATAAATGTGATTTTTCCGTTTCCTTTACGGTTCTATAAACCTGATCTGCCTCAAAATTCTCAACAATCGTTATGCATCAACCCATATCTTTATAAAGTTATAATTTATAGGTAATAGTAATTAAAAAAATAAATATATATTTAAATTAATGTCAGATTTAAATTTAAATAACCGTAGGCTTCATACACGTAATGGCAGCAGTATACTCAACATGGCGAGTGTTATGTTTCAAATATATTTTAAAGTCCTTGTTAACCCTAGTAGATAAAAGTGTAATAATTTTTATAGTCACAAAATCATAGATTAAGTATTTCTTAACTAAAAGTACACATACAATTGCATTCTATTACAGATTATTGTTAAAATCAATTCTGAGGAATATTTTCTTATTATGAAACTAGTAGATTATTACTGGAATACAAAATACAAAAGATTAGTACTACAATGAAATCAAGATAACACTTCCATCTTTGTGTTAAAATAAAGTAAATTCAGGTGTAAGCAATGATTATATCGTAATCGTCATAGTAAAAAATAAACTATCCACGGTAATTTTAAGCTTATCATGATAGTTCAAGCAAAATCAAATAGTTCTATTGAACAAATAATCATTGTTTTACTACAAAGGTTTATCGTAATAGGCTGATGATATTAGGTTGAAAATATCATAAGTTTTTTGGTGAGCTTATTGAAATGAATTTTTTGGGTGTACTAAACAATTACACGTACACAAACTCCACCAATCCTAATTAGATCTTTCTACTTGACTTAATCATGTTGTTTCCTCCTAAAAAAACTCGTGATGACGTTTTCAACAACATCTTGGCATAGTTTGTAATGTATTTCTTTATTTGTTCCCAAATATTGCATCTCTTTTAGATTGGTTGTTTCTTCGCTTGTTATCCTCAATCATCGGGTTTCAATAAGGTTCCTTGTTGCCCACAAGTCCTTCCTCCAAAGTGTGGTTTACCGTTAATCATTTCCTTATTTGTATGATTTACTTTAACATTGACTTATCAATATGTATTAATGTTTCAGTGATCGGAGCCATGTCGAAGAGCGGTAAGGGATCGTCTACAAATCTACTAGATCCAACAGGCAGACAAGGACCTTACTTTGATAAAGCAGCTTCAAAAAATGTAACGGCGTTGCTGGGGAAAACGGCCTACCTAAACTGCAAAGTGAAAAATTTAGGAAACAAAACGGTACGTGTAAAAATTATCATCAGTAAGTTAATATTGAGGTGATGTTGTTAATTCACTGCAATGCATTTATGAAATGTTCCAAATCAAAAAGTAATGTAACAAACTAGGTTGTTAACAGATTTTGAATATATTCTAAGTTGATCAGTGAACTTTTGCTAATATTTTCCTCTTTTTGCAAATTTACATGAAAAATGGTGTGATAAAAGTGCTGCCAGATAAAAAATTTTGTTCTAGATAAAATAAGTTCCTAAATAACTCATCAGTATAACTAGAATTATCCTACGGTCATCTCTTTACTTGTGTACAATTATTTATAGTTAATGATTATTTAATACCAATTTTGTTACAACTTTATAATTTGTTAACCTTTATAATATTTTTATAGGCTACTTATGCATTTATTCATAATGAGTTTTATTTTTTTTATGTATATCTCTGATTCTTGTAACCTTTAAATGTTTGCATTTTATTTAAGAAAAAAAATACCCAAAGTCATCGTTTTATACTGAAGGACTCATGTATATATATATATATATACACTCCATTTTGAGTATATATATATATATATATATATATATATATAATAATTACAATTAGTGTATATACATTATTGGTAAGAAATAGTTTTGGCAAAGGCCTATTAATAATTATAACGAGCTTACATAACCCTGTTAGGTTTCAAAACTGATTCGGCCATATTGTAAGGTAAAATGGTATTGGTAATTGGGTCTGAAGGCTATTAAAGGCGTAGAACCCCCAATGTGTGCCAAACTATGTTCTAAATTCGTTGTATTTGATGTTATCTACTTACAAATACCAGTATGCTAACTCCATGTAATTTTAATTTATGAGTAACGCTATAATTAATGGCTAGTCTCCTAAAAAAACTGTATTTTTGAAATATTTATTTCTTAGCTCAATGAAATATTGTATTTCAAACAATGACATAGGATTTTATGATATAGGCGTAATTACATGTTACATTGTCCACTTAAATTGGATGATTAATTTAGTAAAAACTAATCTTTTACTGAATTGAGCTTTACAAGCCAAATGCAACACAATTTATTTTAGTAGATTTTTAAAATAACAAGAACGAATACTTTGTGACTATGGATACTCCTTTAAGTTTCAAATCACAAAAGTTTAAACTATGCTGTGCTAAACTCTAGGATGTATTTCAGGTATCCTGGGTAAGACACAGAGACATCCACCTACTGACTGTGGGGAGATATACCTACACGAGTGACCAGAGGTTCAGAGCCATTCACCATCAGAGCTCAGAAGACTGGAGTCTGCAAATCAAATATCCCCAGCACAGAGACACCGGGATATACGAGTGTCAAATCAGCACCACGCCTCACATGAGCCACTACATACACCTCAATGTCGTTGGTAAATATCCTATACGGTAGAAGCTTAGTGATATTACCCAGTGTCAATCAAATCAAATCAAATCAAATCGTCTTTATTTCATATTGTACATAAATCAGTACATGGAATGGCGTCAAAATGGTATGTGTTAGAGGAAACATCCAATGGTACGCTTAAGTGGTGTCCAGCACTAGTGACTGGTGTCTAGGACAAAGTCCAACACCACCGTCATGTAATACAACGCTTCGGTGGAGCAAGACCCTATACCCTGTGCGATTGAACTTCCGCACATTGCTCACCGTTTGGGATCTTCCTTGCTCGTCACTAGTATTTCTGGCACAATATACTAGCTGGTGATCCCATAAGAATGTTTCCTCTGTACTTTACTTCTGTTTTTATAATGATAATTATTTGAAACAATATTTAATTATATAACCATAATTTTATGATATTCGGAAACAAATCCTCCACTATTTGATTCAATTATTTTGTAATACATATTTTGTAATTTGGGGTATTATTTGTAATACACATCTATATCCACTCCTCATTGGTAAATACACAAAGCATTCAATAACCTAAATATATCAAAATACATCTACTTAGGTACCATTTTCTTTATATACAGTAAGATATATTTTTGTTACGCATGCAAATATGTTATCTTGCATAGGTAAGCGTCACATATGATCCAATTTAAAACTAATACTTGGTTACCTGACAAACATTTTCCTTTACATCCAATTCTGCTTCAACAGTTTTAATTTTGTATGTTTACAAAGAGAATGTGATAGAAGGTCAAAGGTAGTTCACGGTTTTCTCCTTGCAATCATTTAAGTCCTTTGACTTTAAATATCACTGTATCAAACATTTAAAGTATCGTTGTATTGACATTTTGAAAAATAAACTATTGAAAATCAAAACCAAATTATATATCTTAGATATTTTATATTTACATCTGTAGCCCTTAAAATAAGTTACATTAAACTACAATTAAAGGTTGATGTCATTCGGATGAGCAACAAATATGATAATAATCGAAAACATTCGGAATTATTTTTCATTGCAATATTTATAATTATTTGAAAGGATTGATTTACAAACGTAGTTTTGTAACAATTGAACTATTATCTAATGTATAAGTGTATAAGGCCTTTCGAGTTTTAACATCTATAAGTAAGGTTAAATCCCAAATATTGGTTTAAAAACTAACGTCACCCTTAGAGATAAAATTTTTCTATTGATATACCATTAAAAAAGTATGTACGACTCGTTTGTGATTAAACTTATTGCAATTGATAAATCACGTAAATGTTTTTTTATGAACGAACCAAAAGTTGGAGGATTACACGGTTTTATAAGATTTCATACACACTCGTATAGAAACTAATTAATTATAGTAAATGCCATTAAAAGTAGTTCAATACATTTAAATTTAAATTTAATTTTATCCTTACTGTTTGCAGTATCAAGCATTTTAAATAGTGATAATATTGTAAAAAGTATTAAGCTTCGTTATTGCACCCTAAACATTAGGTAGCTTGTTAAGTTCATGTTTTTTTTAGAACCCACGACAGACATCATCGGAGGTCCTGATTTATTCATTGACAGAGGAAGCACTATCAATCTGACTTGCGTAGTGCTTTATAGTCCCGAGCCTCCAGCTTACATCTTCTGGAACCACAACGACGCGGTGAGTCAAATTAAAGTAATAGAAAACATAATTGAAACAAAAGAAAATTAAAAAATATTACAGGTAACATTTTAAATGAATGTTTTGCTTTACATGACACAACGAAAAAATACATTGAGAAGAAGACACGTATCTTATACAAGACACCGTTGGCAATATGAAATATTCATTTTGTGTACTTTTATAGACTCTAAATTCCTGAAGTAATATAGTATATTCTTGAGATCCCTATCATAATATCACGAGTAATCCATGTATTTCGTGTGTTTACATAGTTAAATTTGAAAACATTTCAATATTTTCAGCACTCAATACTCTTAGTAATTAATTTTAGTCGTATAATAACATAGTTAAAAATTGCAAGTTTAAAACAGCTGCAGATGAGTTGTTTATGGTAAAAAAATATTTTGTGTAACACCAAAGTGATTATAATTTAAGTATCTAGTAAACTAACTGTGGGATGAAATGTTCTTTGTAGTTTTGAATTCCAAGGGAGTCCAAGGAATCTAACGGCCATCTTGAATTCCCCGCTATAAGAGCAATGTTAATTTTGTTAATTTCAAAAGCCGCTGAAGAGTTATTTGCCCTAATTTTTTCAAGCACCAGAGTGATAGATATTTAAATACCCAATAAACTTTGGTATTATAAATTGTTTTTGTAGTTTTTTAATTTGTTATGAGTGAAAATGTCTAGGCTCCAAGAACTCCATTTGGTTCTATAACTTGAGAAACTATTGTATATAAAATAGTCCTTTTGTATAGTCAAGTAAAATTAAATAATTTCCCTATCATGCAGACATGCAACCTCGACCTTTTCTACGGTAGACTTATAGCCGTTTTGTACGCAATAGCCGATTATTGAATATAAGTAATTAAGTTCAGTCACATATATATATATATACTTGTCAACAGATCATCAGTTACGACTCACCCCGCGGTGGTGTGAGTGTTATCACTGAGAAGGGTGAGACGACAGTCAGCTACTTGCTGATACAACAAGCAAGGACGACTGATAACGGGAAGTATCAGTGCAACCCTTCCAACGCTCAGTCCAAGTCCATCAATGTTCATGTGCTCAATGGTGAGTCTATAAATGTCCCAACAAAATACCTGTAATCTAAATACATTTTATTTTCCTAATCATTTTGCTTTAACTTTCAGTTTTATTTGTATTACTTCTGGCTACATTTGTTCCAATGCAATGGTTTATTGTTCATACTTTCTTAAACCATAACTTTTAGGATAATTAACATAAATAAATACAGGGTGTCCAGTAAACAGCCAAACTCCAGGTAATAGCTCTATGGGTCAAAATAAAGAGAATATCAAGTAATTTTCCAAAATCGCTTCGTTAACCAGATATTAGGCATTTTGTGTTTATCCTAAAAACTTGTTTATCTTTGAAATTTGTCAACCGATCATTATGAAACTTGGTATGTGTGTTGCCGTAAAACAGACCTACGTTAGAAAAAATTCTTAATCAAATTAAACATTTTAAAATAGCTGCCATTATAATATTTTTAATTGATATTGCTGAAAATTTCTTATGGCATGAATAAATTCAAAAAGATTAAATAAAATATATCTGAAATATCACGATTTTTTGTAAAACGATGTGGAACAAGGCTAAGCTAGTCAGGTTTGCCTCATATTACAACTAAAAACCATAATATGGTTGTTATTTATATTACATCTTTTTGATCTTGGTGGCTTTTGATAGGTAGCTTTCCTCCAAATGGAACATTTTCTTCATAAAAATCTTATACCATTTCACTAAGGGTGGATGGCTTATGTCTCAATTTCAAATCAATTACCTATTTCAACACCATACCGAATGGGGTTTTACACATTGTTATTGTTTAAAATATTACTAAAACCTTACTACAACTGCCATGGTATCTTTTCTTTAGACTTTAGACCGTACAGCAAGGAGGTCAGGTGCATCACCGATCCTTCCACCTCTACTGCCTCATATACTGTGCGTCTGTCATATAAAGTTCATTGTCATAAGTGCCGTGGTATGTTTTCAGGAGAGTTCCCCGCTGCCATGCAGCATGGAGGTCAGGCGCATCACCGCTCCTCCCACCTCTACTGCCTCATACTGTGCGTCTGTCATATCAATTATTTCATTTTCATAAGTGCCGTGGTATGTTTTCAGGAGAGTTCCCCGCTGCCATGCAGCATGGAGTTCAGGCGCATCGCCGCTCCTCCCACCTCTACTGCCTCATACTTTGCGTCTGTCGTATCAATTATTTCATTGTAATAAATGCCGTGGTATGTTTTCAGGAGAGTTCCCCGCTGCCATGCAGCATGGAGGTCAGGCGCATCACCGCTCCTCCCACCTCTACTGCCTCATACTATGCGTCTGTCGTATCAATTATTTCATTGTCATAAGTGCCGTGGTATGTTTTCAGGAGAGTTCCCCGCTGCCATGCAGCATGGAGGTCAGGCGCATCGCCGCTCCTCCCACCTCTACTGCCTCATACTTTGCGTCTGTCGTATCAATTATTTCATTGTAATAAATGCCGTGGTATGTTTTCAGGAGAGTTCCCCGCTGCCATGCAGCATGGAGGTCAGGCGCATCATCGCTCCTCCCACCTCTACTGCCTCATACTATGCGTCTGTCGTATCAATTATTTCATTGTCATAAGTGCCGTGGTATGTTTTCATGAGAGTTCCCCGCTGCCATGCAGCATGGAGGTCAGGCGCATCATCGCTCCTCCCACCTCTACTACCTCATACTATGCGTCTGTCGTATCAATTATTTCATTGTCATAAGTGCCGTGGTATGTTTTCATGAGAGTTCCCCGCTGCCATGCAGCATGGAGGTCTGGCGCATCGCCGCTCCTCCCACCTCTACTGCCTCATACTTTGCGTCTGTCGTATCAATTATTTCATTGTAATAAATGCCGTGGTATGTTTTCAGGAGAGTTCCCCGCTGCCATGCAGCATGGAGGTCAGGCGCATCATCGCTCCTCCCACCTCTACTGCCTCATACTATGCGTCTGTCGTATCAATTATTTCATTGTCATAAGTGCCGTGGTATGTTTTCATGAGAGTTCCCCGCTGACATGCAGCATGGAGGTCAGGCGCATCATCGCTCCTCCCACCTCTACTGCCTCATACTATGCGTCTGTCGTATCAATTATTTCATTGTCATAAGTGCCGTGGTATGTTTTCATGAGAGTTCCCCGCTGCCATGCAGCATGGAGGTCAGGCGCATCATCGATCCTTCCACCTCTACTGCCTCATATACTGTGCGTCTGTCATATAAAGTTCATTGTCATAAGTGCCGTGGTATGTTTTCAGGAGAGTTCCCCGCTGCTATGCAGCATGGAGGTCAGGCGCATCACCGCTCCTCCCACCTCTACTGCCTCATACTGTGCGTCTGCCTGCTGCTACTCTCCCCCTAGCAGACAGTGGCTCTCGCCTGCGCCACGGCAGCCACCCGCGCTCGCTGAGGCCGGACAGAGAGTCCAGGGTCTAGTGAAAATGAACTGAGCGGAAATCGGAGGTTTTCTAACTCCTGAGTTTTTAAGAATGCTGTTGTTTTGTAAATTTCACATTTCAACGTCGGACAGTGAAAAACACGGATTGAAAGACAATCTCAAATCGCCAGTTTAATTATAAGTGTTGTTACATTTTCAAAAGTTTAGTTTAAAGGCATGTTATAGCATATATTTTTCGGTGAATGTTTTTGGAACCGTACTCGTAACTTCAGTTGTTTTTATGAAAATTATCGGTGTTAGACAGTTTGTTGTTGGCTACTTAACTTGGAATTTCTCCGTAACGTTCTTTTTATATTCGTAGTGTTTCCGTAGTTTGTACGTCAGGACAACTTTCTTACTTTACCGATTTCGACCTTTGTTACATAGCTGATTATTATTACATGAAGCTCAACGGAAGTCTTATGTGTGTTAATGTGTTTAAACTAATATATTTTATACATAAGTCTATAGTGTTTATAGGGCTTTGTCTGTGCATATTATTGTGTATATTGTAAATAGTGTTGTTGATTTGAATTTCTTAGGCCTTGTACTACCTTGATTTAAGCCTAAATTCAGTCTGTTCTTAGAATTCCAGTTACTTTTTAAACTGTACAAAGTTTAGGAAAATGCTTTATTATTTTAAACTCCCAATTTCTAAAAAGAAAAATAACAAATTAGCATATAAATAGCTGCAAAAATAATATTATTTTTTACTCGAATTTGTAAATTATGTTAAGATTACGCATAAGCATTTGCTTGTCAAACTTGTATCTTGAAAGCCTTAGTAAATTGCGGAAGATACGAAATAAGAACCTTTTAGTAGTATGTTTGTTTATGAGTCTATTTTCAGAAAATGTCATCACTCTTGATCCTTAACGAAATTCCTGCGCATCCAAGAAATCTTTTGTTTCTCACTAGGTGAGTTAAAAATCAATTTTCTTCTCTCGTGTAAGTAGGTAGCCTATGTAGCACGATATCTCGAGCAAAAAGCAGGTGACTTTGATGACATTTGGTACAAACGTGTAAATCTAAATTTTTATTCGAACGAATTCATGATCCAGCACGATCGGGCCACGGGAACAAGGTTTCACGGGATTGAAAAAGTTTCATCTCATGTTTGTACCTCAAAAGATTGAGTATCTTAATTTCACCCCAAGCCATCTAGTGAAATAAAAAAAAATGTTTTTTTACGTATTATTGTACAATTATTAATTATGGAGAACATTTAAAAAGTAGTAAATTCAAAAATCTCATTATTCTTATCGAGTATAAGTTAACTGTAGCATTTCGATTTTTTATGTGTGTATTGTAATCAAACTGGGCAAATTTATTTATTTTATACTAAGCTATTGACGGTTTGCCAAAACCACACTTTATTACTTTCTTCATATCAGCAATTCTAAGTGCTTTTTGAAACCAATGCTATTAAAATAGGGAACCAATCGGACACGATCAAGAAACTATCTAAGTGGAAATCCAGTCCAGCAAAAGGCTATTTGCTTAGTCTGCTGGTGTGCAGTTTTTGAAATTCTTATCGTACGTTCTCTTGTCTATCTTGAATATGTTTGTGTCTTATAAGTAACGAATTTTGTCTGTTTGCAGTGGTCCGTGACGCCCGTTCTCTACAGTCAAACGGTCAACAAACTTTTACTGATACAATGTTTCTATAAAGCACAATTCTGTGATCATTATTTTAACTAAATTTTTGGATTTTTAAATATATTAAAGTAACAAAAGTAACTAAAACAACATCCGTTAATTGTGAATAATTGTGAGATGAAATCTCTCACTTGTTGTAAAGAACAATAATTGTGGTATAGTTTATGATATACCAATTGTATGTATTGTAGTCATTAAATTAAAAGTATATAACAGTAAAGTGTATTTTATTTACCTAATAAACTGTAATTAGCTAGGCAATCATAACAAAAAATTAAACTAATAAACTAAGTTAGCATCGTTTGCCAAATAGTTGTCTTACAGCTATAATCAATCAAAATTAGGTAGTTAATTAACATTTTAGTTAATTAACACACAAAACATCCAAAAATATGTTTGGCAAATTTCGAACACCAGGAAAAATTAGAATGATGACATCTCATGTAAAAATATGAACATATTTTGTAAGTAAGGAACAGTTCTATCTGTACCAAGACTTCTTTAGAGTTTTACTATAAGTGATACTTTGATGACTTCAGGAACCTTTTTGTGGAAATGTCCATACTTACCATTGGAATTTCATGTTTTTTTTTTTTGTTGTTGAGACAGTAAAGAAACAAGTATAGCTACTTATAGCTATAGCTGCTTTCCCTAGATTTCATATTAACATTAATAATAATCATTCATTTTTAAGGAATATTTTGTTTCTACTCCCTTGTGTTAATAGGTGTTAAAGGCTAAGCATTTGGTCATGATAAAAAATATTAGCATTATTTTCAACTGACCACGGTATGCAGCGTGGCACATTTTGTTAGGATCACTAGGGTCCTAAAACATTGTATTTTTAGGGTAACGCAAATATTTTGTATGTTGTTTTATATACAATGAAAAGGCTTTTAAAGAAAATATACAAGTATATTCAAAAGGCCTTTATTACGGCATAATATAATCGACAACTATTTGCATATCAAAATATATGGGTCTTATTACAAAACTTACAATATGTATATATTTAGTACAAAACTTATATGAAATTACAAAAAGTATGACATAAATTAATAAGCTAGTCATGAAATGCATTTTGATAGTATGTCATCAAATAGTACGTAATTAAACAGTTATTCATTTACAGGCTGATACAGCACACAATATAGATTACTTAGTACTGCTAGTACGTAATCAAGGATCGGAAGACCCTTTAAAAAATCAGTAATAATTTAAATTTAATCGTTGACAAAATTTTCTACTTAGTTAAACATCAACCTGATATAACAATTTCCAACATTATCCAAACTAATGGTATTTATATTTTTGCCAATTTACCATTATTTCACACTAGCTGTTGTACCCATGCTTTGCAACGGAAAGAGGACACGAAATGCAAAAAAAATTATAGTATTGCCCCCTGTTGGTAAACCTTATAACTTTTTAATATCATAGAACCAACTTGTGTATAGTTGAAGCAGCTGACAAAGTTCTTTTATTCCTTATAAATATGATTAGTCATAAGGTTAACATGGGATGCTCCAGAGCCACTGGGGCGGAGCCCGAAAGGACTTTTGAGATAAGAATGCGTCTATATGTTAATCCGACCAGTATTTTTCGTGTTTACTTGTCACAAACATACATACATACATCCAAACTTTCTCATTTATAATATTATAGTAGGATAATAGGTTACTATGGTTACACTGATCACAATTGTCTTCTGAAAGCTTCTTTTTCAGATGGACTAATATAATTATAAATATATAAAACTGGAATGTTTTACATTATTTAAAACAACTAATATGGACATTTTACTGATTTAATTTTAATCCGTACTATACAGGGTGTCTCAACTAAAGTGAACCAATATACACCTTTTTGCACCTTTTTATAAATTCCGGAAGACGAACCACCAAGTCGATACAGCGCCTATACCACACACTAATGTTTTTACGTTGAACATTGTAAAAGTGATCTATTACAGTCAAATGTTCAAAATAAAATGATTTTGTTTCTAGGAGACAGAAATAGTTGTATTTTTAGTCTCCATGGAACCAAGACTAACTAATCTTGTGTTAAAAGGTGGTTTGAATCTAGTAGTAGGTTACTGTATTGTATTTGGTTATAATTTTCCTGGATCTTTCAACTATAAACTATTTTTATGTTTTATTTTAATTATGAATTTGTTTAAACTAATCTGTAAAGTTAATGTACTCTTTTACATACCTTGCTTGGATTGATGTGATTTTGTCTGAGACTTCAAATGGATGAGTTTAAGGTGGGTTTTGGGATGGTTTTAAATTTTAAAAATATATCCTCTATTTTCCAATATGACCGAAAACTTGGTTATTTCCTAAGGAACATCCTGTATTTTATGATTGTATTAGAATGGAAATGTGATTCAAGCATTTTTATTTTGGACCATTTTTCTCTAAAGCTAAAGTGTATGAGTTACAGCGTGTTACACCTAAGAAAAAGAGGCTTTTGGTGTACATTCTGCATCCTCTATCTCCTAAACGAGTAAGTTTCGATAGAAAATGCAACAATATAAGAAGTCTCAAAATTGTATCTTCATTCTAAAAAAGTTATTAACTACGCTAAAAATATTGATCCTGATTTTTTTATGGCAACAATTTTCAAAAATAGCAGCTAACTGTAATATTGGAACACTTGGTATTTTATGATATTTTTTGGATGTAGATGCGATTTTAAGACTTATTTATAACTTGCAATTTCTCTTTAAACTTACTCGTTTATGAGCTAGAGGATTCAGAATGTACACTAAAAGCAATTTTTTCTTAGGTTTAACACACTACAACTTCTAAATAAGTAGCTTTAAAAAAAAGGTCAAGAATAATAAATGTTTTTAAATCGCATTTAAATTCTAACTACAATATAACGATCATAAAATGAAGGGTGTTTCATAAGATATAACTAAGTTATCGGACATATTGGAACATGTCGGATTTATTTGAAAAATTCAAAACCATCCCAAAACGCATCCTAAAATATAAAGGAGAGTGTCTATTAGAAGTTAACTCTATATCTGATAACTACAAGGTCTATTGGTCCACTTTAGGTTAGCCACCTAGGTTAGCTTAGGTTAGGTTAGGTTAGGTTTAGGTTAGCTGTATAATGAATATGATAGCCACAAAGCAGTTTCAAAACATAATATATTTATGTAAAATAAACACAAGTGGAAGTACAATAAGGTATAAAATTCTTCGAGGGTTTCGCATCTCCAATTCACCACCAAGCAGCAAACAGCGTGTCAAATAGGTCAACAATGATAACAACACTAGTTGACACACGCAGCTACAACACGAAATGCTGCGATCTACTACAAACTGGATAGAGCTGTAGCTGCGTGCTACAAACTGGTAAAGTTGTAGATAGGAGCTGCTACAAACTGGATAGAGCTGTAGCTAGGATCTGCTACAAACTGGTTATAACTGTAGCTTGGAGCTGCTACATACTGGTTAGAGCTGTAGCTAGGAGCTGCTACAAACTGGATAGAGTTGTAGCTACGTGCTGCTACAAACTGGATAGAGCTGTAGCTGCGAGCTGCTACAAACTGGATAGAGCTGTAGCTAGGAGCACCTGGAACTGGCTATGACACACACAATAATCTAGTAAATGGCAGACTGAAAATGTAACTCTGAGCATTGTAGTAATCAATCGGTGTAACACACTATACTATGTTTTATTTTTGTAAAACAATTTAAAAATAACTGTAATAACTAGCATTATGAGTGTGAAACACACGATAAGAGCTAGAAAGGGAAATTAGTGCTGAAAAGTAACACGCAAATAGTTTACCAAATATTGTCGACAAATTTGTTACTGAGAATATTTCAAACTAAACAACGTTTTGTCCAACAGTTTCATTTACGTTAAGTGAAAACCGTTCTTGGATTTTCATATAGCAATTTAAGCTTTAATCTTAAACACTTTGGTCTTAAAATACCAAATGTAAATGTTGCGTTGCTTATATAGGCTAGATTCCCCCGCAGGACAAATACTTAAAGAGAAAATACTTACTAAAAAGACACCATGGAATTCAATTGTAAGGATTAAGTTCATAAATAAAGTAATCTTTGATACTTTTAGTTTCAAAAATAAAGAGTGAATTATATTAAATTTTACATTATTTCATTTCAATATAATGAGGAATAATAGTGCAAAGATTAATAACGGAATGGAATCTTGTCTCTTCCTTATTGGAATAAATAACTTTCGGTATATTTTACAATCGTGACAAAACTAATGTCCTTTTAAAAATATTTAATTTTACTTTTGGAATTTGAAATGGATTGAAAACCTGAAATTTAATAAAACCCATTCTTTCAGTTTGAAAAGGAACATTTAATAATGCGTCTGCATTTTTCCGAGCTTATTGAAGCTTTAAATATAACTTTATTTGTTTACCTTTTTAAAAATAAATCGTAAATACTAACCGATAAGAATGGATTAAAAAAAAATATTGTTTTATAACTAGGAAGTACATTTCAAGAGTAAAAATATATTAATTTGAATTTATATGATATTTACAGCTTAATCATACAAAAATAGTATACAATTTATTTTTAATGCCTTAAGTCATCTATTTTGTGAGCACATGGTAATAGATAAACGACGGACCCGATTATATTTGGTGTAATAACTTAAACACTTTTTTGTTTAGCAAATTATAAAAATGTCAAAACGGATAATCTACGTATTACTCATTCTATCACAGACTTTTAGTGAAATGTGTAAGATCTGTAAGCCTTCAATTTCATGCAACACTTCCGTCGGATGTGAGTCAGCCCCTCAGATTACCCACATGTGAGAGATATAAGTAGATTAGTTTCGAGTTTTCGTATAAGCGACCTCGTAGCAAAGGTTGACTTGTAGTTTTCAAATCCAACTTATACCTTGCATTTGATTTATTTCAAAACTAGAATAACTTTTTTTCAAATGCTATGTTAAGACTTTTTATTTTCATATTAATAATATTTCTGGTAGCAAATGTCCATTTTGAGAGACTGTTTTACAACAATACATGTGTTATTGTTTAATATGACTTGTTAATGATACATTTAATAAATAAAGCAAATGTTGATATATTATTCATTGTGACCCTTGGTTGGAATATATTATTGAGCAAATAAAGTAATTACTTGAAAAACCACAGTTGTTGGTATGACGATTTGTTTCGT